CAGAAAAGTGTTCATTATTATAAATAATCCTTATTCAGACAAAAATGTTTTATCATTTAAGAGACATAAAAACAAATTAAAGGTACATTCAGACTAAATCCTCTAGATCCCTAACAGCTTCTAGTAGGTTGACAAGTCTTCTGCCTTCATCTGTCACTGGTTGAGTGCCTTGTCGAACCACACATGCTTCCCTTGCCAGGCTGTGAAGATGACGGGCCGCCTTCTGTACTTGATCCAGGAAATCCCGGATGGTTGCATCTCTGGCCCTTACCCTTCGTTGTGCTTGCTCCCAACGAAAACGCCACTGTAAACCTCCATCGAAGGGCACTATCTGAAGCTCGTTCGCTTGCCTCTTGAACCCATCTACAATAGCTTCTAACTCAGCTATTTTCTTGTTATATTTCTCATGTTGTTTCTCTAAGTTAGCCACCCAGATTCTCAAGTGTTGGTTCTGATGTTGACTGTCTGCCAAGCGCCTTTGAGCAGTCTTCAGCTGTTCCTTCCAAGCTCTTTCATCATGCCCCTCGAACTTCCTTTTCAGAATGTAAGCTTCGTCTTTCCAGTATTCAAAGGTTACTTTTAACTTGGAGTTATCATTGACTTTATCTTGATACCCCTTTCTCAAATCTTCGAGCTCAAAACAGACTCTTTTCTGTTCTCTTTCCAGTTTGTCTGCTCTGTCTTTCTGAGAGTCGGCATCTAGCTTCCATTGATAACGTTCAGCTTCAAGTTCCTTAATCCTCTACTTCAGCTCGTTATTCACAGCTTCAAATTCTGCCTTGGCTATCTCAAGTCCAGAAGGGACAGACCTGAGATGTTCCTCCATAGTGTGGGTGTCTTCACAGTCTGGTACCGGGACATTATCATTCTTTCTCAATCTTCTCCACTCCTCATAATCCGGAGTAAGTATGTCTCTGGCAGCTACAACATTCATCCGGAATACTTTCTTCCATGAATCGGCTGCTTCCTTAATCATTTTCTTATAGTTGTCACCGTGATACACAAACTCTAATCTAGCTATTCCGCTTGTTGCTTGGATAAACTGATGTGCCCCATACTGTCTAAGTGCTAACAACGGAGCATACCCAACTGTACCCCAAAGTCCGAGTAAGGTCATAGTATTAGAATCCCCACACCGGAAAAGAACGTCACCGAGGAACAACCAGGGGGCTCTCTAGGTAATGTCCCGATCCTAAAGATGTGTAAAGACTTTCATTCTTTTTTCCTTTGTAACGCCTTCATGCCACTTCATAGTGATGAACTCTCCCAAAGGTGAATAGGTGGTCCTAAATCGGCGGTAAGCAACCCCGTTAGTCTTCTAGAAGTGGCTGTGAATCCAGACTTGAAGAAGCTGAACACAGCCAACGAACCTGCCTCCACCAGCTCTTCTGTAATGATTAAGAGACTAAAAGGTCTCGGCTAAGATGGCCGGTGCTGGGTTGACTCGCCTTGGAAGTTGCTCAAATAGTTCTACCACGACTGGCGTCGATGCACCCCAAAGTCTTCGAAAAGATAACCAAACCGTACAGACCTAGTGCAAAATGGTATATAGTTTTCCATTCATTAGGGTGGTTCTTCATTAGTTACCTTATGTGAATCCACTCGATTCTTTCCCCGTTACCTTATTGTCGGAGTCGATCAGTCACCCATTTTTCATCAACCCCTGCAATCTTAGCCAGTCCGTTCTTGAAAGGCTGACACTTGATGTGTTTGATATATGCCCTCTCTAGTCTGATGCTTTCGCAGTGTATTAGGGTAGTATACTCTTTGATAGTGGGCACCATGTCCTCCCGGTTAAAGGTGAAGCAACTATATCCTGGGTTCTAGAATTGAATTAATGCTCGAAGCAGGGACTCATCAGTCTTGACATGGAGTAAGAGGGCAATATCACCATATCGTTGGCTGAACTTCTGCTTTCTGTCATTCTTCCAACTGTCCAAAATGTTTCGCAGCTCTTGGACATCGTTCTGTTTCAGGCTGACAGAGGCGTAACTAACCATCTCTGACACATAGTTCCCCTGAAGACTGTCTCCCTTCTCTTTCTGAGTCTTTTCGGACCATAGTCGTGCCTCGACGTTTTTAATCTCTTGTATTACAACACCTTTGTCCATTAATTTGGATTATTTTGTGTTTAACAAACACTTTTTAGGGATCAATAGCCTCTTGTTATGATACAAATGCTAGAAAACAAACACAAAGGCAAAAAAAGTTAGTAAAATAAAAATAAATAAATAAAAAATGACAAAGGAAAAAAACCATAAAAAAAATGGTTAGGGTAAAAATATCCTAGGTTTTGGAACGTGGTTTTGAGGTAGGCTCTAATTTTCTATGGTCTCCCGGTTTAGGTTCTAAAAATGGTACCCGAGTTCTTCTTGCCGGTGCCCCCTTGGGCTTGCCAGACCCTTTGTCTTAAACGCATCATAGGCTTGCGTGGACTAAGTTAAACTCAAGAGGACACATTCCCTTATGCCCGCACGGTGAATAAATTCACACGAAGACATAAGGTATATGAATCCCGAAGGCTACTTGCTAGGCCCGCACGGTGAATAAATTCACACGAAGGCGCCGATTTTACCCCTCACTTAAAATAGGGTTTAGAGCTCGGGTATAGAGCCTTAGAGGAAAAAACGAATTTGGAAGGCTGAAATCATTAGAAAACGGTTAGTACAACTATTTATTTGAAAAATATAATCAAAAGTAAGCAATAAGGATCGAAATGTTACCTTAAAATTTAAACTTACCATTTTCGTTAAAAAGACAACTGGAAATTACCTTAGCCTGACTCACTTACCTGTGTCCTCAGTGGAGTCGCCAAGCTGTCAGAATCGCTTTTCGGTCGGGCCCGGAATTGGGCTTCGAATTGGATTAAATGAATTGGAGTCACAATCGATCATTTATTTTAAACAAAATGGGTTGACTGAATACCTTATTTCTTATATGGTATGCGTCTTACCAGAAATATGTCAGATTCGGGAGTCGGTTACAGTCAAGGAAGGGTTAGCACTCTTGAACTGCCATTTCGGTACTACGTAATTTCCAGTTGTCTTAAATTAAGAAAATTGTAATTTAAATTAAAAGGTAAAATATCGATCCAAGTTACTTACCTTTGATTAATTGAAATACCTTTAAAATATAAAAATTTTTAGATTCGTTGTGGAGTATAAAATCAAATTGATATAACAAGTGCGCAAATAAAATAATAAAAAAAACAAGAAAAAGAAAAAAATAGAACAAGTAAAAAAATAATAATAAAAACAAAATAAATAAAATGGTAAGAAACAAAGATAAAGGAGAAAAAAATTAATGGAATAAAAAACACGAAAAAAAGTAAAAGAAATTAGAAAATGAATAAAAATAATGTGTGTATATATAATGTTAGGGGGAAAAATAAACGAAAGCAAAATAAAGAAAACAATAAAGAAAGCAAAATAAGGGGAAACCCCCACTATATTAATGCACCAAAGATAAAAAATAAAATAAAAATTAAAGTAAAAAAGAGGGGACATGGGGGGCCTAGGAAGAAAAAAATGTGAGGAAGAAATTATATATAATAATTATAATAACAATAAAGAAGGAGAAAAGTAAAATCAAAACCTACCTACGCACCGAAAATATGAAAATTAGGTGGAGACAAAAAAAAGGAGGGGGCTAGGAATTAAAAAGAAGAAAAATGAGATAAAAATTTGATAGATAATATACATATATATATATATATACACACACACGTAATAATAAGAATGAAAAATATCCATGTAATAAATAAAGGACTAATATAAAAGAAAAACTAAAATTGGGGCCAATTTTGAAAGATAATTAACGTTGGTATTGCGCATTAGGGGGAGAAATTAAAGGTTTTAAACATCAGAGAGTCCAAAAGAATAGTTTACCCCTTTTTAAAGATGGTTTTGGTATGAAACCAAAAAATTTCTTTTAACCTTCATTTGTAAGGTTTTCAGTTGAGAGCCCCTCCACTTTCTTTCTTCATCCTCTCGCCTGTTCATCAAGGATGAAGAACACAACCCGGTTTCCCAGATTCCGACACCGCGCCGCCTGGCGCCACCGTTCATCGGTGGCAATCCTCGAAAAAGATTCAATTTTTTAAAAGCTCTTTTCTTCCTCTATCTAAAAACTGAGTTCTTTTCCTCAAAATGAGCCTCGGGATTACTAGATCTGAAAAAATAGATCTCGATAACCTTTCCCGTTCATCAGCCAAAAAATGTTTTTAGGGATTTTCGAGTAAAAAAAACTCAAAAGCATAACAACATGCAAAGACGAGAAACGAACAAACAAGGTAAAAAACTACCTTTTTTATTTCTCTGATTTCGAATGTATACAAGCCTTTGTTTGCGCGTAATGTCTTGTGGAATCGTGCGTTTCCTGTAAAAACAATGCCTATTTCGTGTATCCCCTATTGTTCTAGTTACATGCCTATTTATAAGTACCAAAGAAACCTATTTCTAGAGTTTGATTCCGAGTAAAACTCGGTTATTTGATTCTCCACAACTCTGACTTGTCATTTGGTTGGTTGTGAATGAGTCACTTTGACTCACGTTTGTTATAGGCCGAGAAAACCGGAACCTGGCTGTTGGGGAAGCAGCGTGCGGTGATGGGTCTTCGAAGGTTGGGGATGCGTGAGGAACGTCGTTGGAGCAGAGGGTTAAGAATGAAACCCTATCTGACTCATATCGTGAACCGTTGGATCATATCTCGATCCAACGGTCGAGACACTTGGCGGTTGGGGGCAGAAGATGTTTAGGGTTTTGGAAACCCTAATATGTTATTGGTCACGTGCTTGTTGGGTCTGGACTACTGAGCATTGCTGGGCCATGTAACGAGTTGTTTGGGGGCATGTGATATGTAAAATAAATATACGTGAATGTTTGTCCAACATGTGTAATAAATTATTATATAATATAATCTATAATATAAGTATATTATATAATATCGAAGGATAAAATTTGGTGTCTTCATAAATTAACCAGGAAAAATGTCAGACTTACATTTCTGTTACCATTGGAACGTGATCCTCCCACTATACAAGAAGAATCAGCTTTAGCACATATAAAGCCAGCATGCTCAAGGTGATGTCGATCATACACAAACAGGACTCCTTTGTATATGTGCTCTACAGGGCCTTGTTTTCCCTAAATTCATAGGAGCAGATAGTTTGTGAACTTATAAATTCATAAAGTAAGCATTATGACAAACCAAACTGAAAATGAGAATCGTACTTTAAAAGGACCCTCAAGGATCCTATCCACGTCTTTCACAGAAACAATATTCCTATATCTGTCTTGCACATTAAATTTCTTCTCAAGCTTACATTTGATTTCCCTCAATTTTACAAGAGAAACCTCTGGTCGTTCTGGAACACCCTTAAGAACCTAAAGAAAGTAAAAGATCATGAGCTGAGTCAAAAGAGTAGCACTGAAAATCTGACCATTTAGGAGAGATCGTTCACCTGAAACGCTTCACTTTCTACACGTATAATTACACCAAAGCTATTGTTACTGAAACAACATAATTAATACATTATGACCCCAAATTAACTAAAGACTGAGTTCAAATTCTTCAGGAAAATAATTACTTACTCTAGTAGCACAAGGTCATGAAGCTCATACTCCCCAATTTTTGTAACACCAGTAGTTACTTCAGAGCTCTCAACAACATCATCAGCAAAAACACGGATCTGATATAACAAATGCCAATTATTTTTTTTAGCGAGATATTCCTTAGGTCTGGAACACGCTGCAAAAGATGTATTACTCGCATGTTCTTTGGTTGTATCAGATAAAATGATGAGAACATGCCGCTCGACCTTGACAACCATACCAGTTGCACTTTCCTTCGTCCCAGACACAACCTTCACGTGATTCCCAGGCTCAAAGTACTTACATAGCTCTTTTTCATTAACAGCAAGAGTTTTCTGAAAAAAACATCATCAAAGGCCATGTATGACCTAACGATAAGGAAACTTACATGCCCAGAAGTGATCGAAGACTTAACTCAAAGAATACAAACATTGACTGGATTCTTACAGGAAGGCCTTTCATTTCTGGTCTGATATGGACATTCTCTTCCTCAACCTTTTCAACCCATCCCTTTAAATTTTTCAGATCCCCCTTGACAACAATAACTGCATCACCCTTCATGAAATGGTTTTTCTTTCTTTTCGCAAACAAAGTTGATAAACCAGCCATATCACCTTCTCCATTATTGCTAGGTGTCCGAAACTTTTCAAGTTCATCAAATGTTGGTTTTATGTTCTGAGCACTAATAGATCTCATTGACACCGTTTTGTACAAGAACCCATCTTTAAACAACATACCACCAATATTCTCAAAGTAAGCACCGGTGATCGAATCTTGTCTGCGCTCCACACGAATATGAAGTTCCCTAAAAGAAGCATAAATATTGAGACATATGAGCTTAAGTTTTATGAAACAAATGAATGTGGTGGATTTTCACTAGAGATTGAAACCATTTGAACAACCTAGCTTCATCAACATTCATAAAACGAGGAGGGACAAAAGCTTTCTTCTTTGGGACTTCCCTTCCTTCCTGTATGTAGTAGAAAAGTATATCAACAATGACAGAGCCAGAAAGAAAGCCAAATTGTTCATGTAAATCTGTTTAATTTTTTCATAACCGTTACCATCATAGATACAACTAAATTCTTATGCCTGCATTGAAAGATTTAAATACTATTTGATTGTAAGGCGTTTAACATTCACAATCTAGGAGATAAACACCTAAAACAAATGCAATAAACTCCATACCAATTTATTAGCAAGAGCCTGTAAGTCGATCCTAGGGATCAATTTCACAGTGACTCTCTGTCGCACGTTATCCACATCAACTACCTATGAAATAGAAATTACATGGTCAGGCAAAAAAATCAAAGGGAATATTGATGAGTGGAAAAGGACAAAAATCATACTTGAGCGAGATCACCCTTGTATTTCCCAATCTTCATTCTGACCCAGGTATCTCTAGAAAGATCAATCGCTTTGCTTTCCACTGATAAAACATCAGTCATTTCTCTTATTGGAACAAGCATAATCTTTGCTCCAAATATACTACGCAGACCTTTGATAGCCTGAAGGAGCTCGAAATTGGTCAACAGAAACATTTGTTGACATTTAACGCTAAAACATTCATCAAAAAATAAAACAAAAGAAGCAAAAATCACATACCTCTCTCACATGGGCTTCCTTGTCTGCTTCAATATAGATATAGTTTTTAAGGTGATCAAGGGAAGTAACAGACCTGATTTGCAATTCAGATCCATTGTCAATGTATTTCTGCATGAGGCAAACCGCGGTTTCCCGTTCACCACCAATCTAGGATGCATACACAGGATCTTAGTTTAACTCCACAACAAATATACCAGTATTAACCATTCCTGCCCAACAACAAATTTCAAAAACTTAAGCTGCAGAGGGAATCATCATCATACCGCACATATCACCATCCACAGCTTTGGAACTCTTACTGATGGCAAAAGTGCTTGCTGTTCCACATCAGTTGTCTCCTCATCATATTCTGTCTGACTTGATCTTGCATACCTAGCCTGAATACTTCTCTCAAGAGCTTCAACATCTTCTTGTTCATCCTCCCGGAGTGGTAATGGGCGACGGTGCATCCTTTTACCAACGTCTTCATCTGGTAGATCACCTCCAGTCTCAACTATGAAGTCTGCAATTTCCAGACATCAATATATCAGCAACATAAAGAGAATCAAGGTGAAAACCAAGCACGAATAGACGGTTCTACAGAAACCACCATACTAAGATATGTTATTGATTCATTCCACTCATTTCCAATCATGTGATTGTGCTGATTATGTATGCCTTTTCAGCCAAACGACATTTTTTTGGATCAGAGCAACATTTGATATAATTAAAAGTAATATTGTTTTGGGCAAACATTGAAAATATGAAGAAGAAAAAAGTGGATACTGGCCACACTATTCACTTTAATGGTTTCTACACATTGCTTCTATCCAAGCTATTGCTACTGCAGGTATTTACTATAACCAATTGATTTTAGGAGAAATAGAGTAAATATGGTAACCAAAGAAATCTCAAGAAGAAAATGTTAAAATCTCAAGTATTCTTAAAATTTGGAGAGTATTGGGTAAAAAGCATCTCAAAACAGGTATAAATGCAATAGAAGAGTAACAGAAATGTCAATCAAGAACCATGCAGAAATGAATTCTTCTCCATTATCTACAAATGATTGTGATCCAATGTAATGAAAAAAGAGATTCATTGCATAAAAAATTATAATAAAAATAATAAGAAAACTAGGAGCTCACTAATGTTAATTTCAACGAGCATAACAGTTTCCAAATAACAGTCTGATAATTGCATAGATATCAGAATGACATACAACCAACTAAAATGAATCCCGCCATTTAAGCAAATTAAGTAGGTAAACAAACATTTTAAAAAATGTCACTAATGAATCCAATGAGAAATTCACTAAAATGACATTTGGTTCGCTGGAATGTTTCTGAGGGAATTAGAATCTGTAGGAATTGGAATCTGAATCTGAAACCTGTTTGGTTGACAGGAAATTGAATTGGAATCCAATTTCATATTCTATTTGGTTCGCAGACATGTCAGATTAATTTAATTTCAGTAATGTAAAATGACAGAATTGCCCTTCTTGTTTTTTTGCTTAATTTTAGTTTGTTTTATAACTTACACGTAGTAATATATTATAAAATTTTAAAAAATATTAATATTTTATTTTATTGATTGATTATTCATTTCAATAAATTATAAAAATCATACTAATAACCATCATAAGTTAAAATTATCCCAATTAGGGATGACCATGGGTCGGGTTGGGTCGGATTTTTGGTCCACCCAACCCGACCCGAGAACAAGGGAACCTCCACCCGAGACCAGACCCGACCCGACCAAAATAAAGTTTCATCTGACCCGACCCGAATATATGAATTAGAAACCCGACCCGACCCAAAATAATAAAAAAAATTATTTTTATTCAATAAAAACAGTGACTTTATTGAAAAAAATTATATATAGAGGGGTATTATTGTAATTATTCCTAAATATATAAGGTAAAATTATATATTTTTTTGGGTCGAGTATTTTTCACCCTAAACCCGACCCGAATATCACACTTAAAAAAGCCCGACCCGACCCAAATATCACACTTAAAAAATCCCGACCCGAATAGCACACTTAAAAAAATCCGACCCGACCCGAATATCAAACTTTAAAAAACATGACCCGATCCCGAATACCAAAAGATTGATAAGGGCAGTATGGTCAAATTTCACATTCCCTCCTCCAAAGGATTTCAATTCCATCGTGTTATAGATAGAATTTACTTTCCCTCTCTGGATGGAATTGGATTCCAATTCCCCATTTGAAAACTTGAACCAAACATGGGAAAGTGGTGAAATTGGATTCCAATTCCCCCTAATTCCAAGGGATTCCAGTGAACCAAACGCCACCTAAGAGGACTTATTTTTTTCCATTTTATATATAAGTTTATTTGGGCACTTAGGTCTAGATATTTCAAATATACATGATAACCTCATAAGCATTACTCGACCAATTTTATAATTGGATTAATGACAATATTTATTTATTTTAAAATATTAAGAAATGACCGTCTTAAGGTAACTAGATGTCGTATTCTGATATTTTAAAATAAATAATACCCTAATAGAAAAACTAAAAAACGAGTATGCTTGAATTTAATCAAGATTAAAGGAAAAAGGAAATGTTCTTCTATTTAAACTTGTCGAGACAATTTGTCAAATTTTTATTAGGGATTTGGTCTCGATCTCTTTAAATAATTGAACATCCCTTATCTTTTCTAATAAAATTTGTAACTTGGATCAATTGAATTTTCATTTTGGTCGGATCGAATTATTTAATATCGAATTCTTAGGAGGAATTATTATTTCTTTTTGTTTCAATTGGAAAGATAAATATTCATCTTAAAGTACTTTAGGGATTATTTTCCTTTCGATAGGAAATATTGAAATATTTTATATTTCTTCTTAGAATTTCCCGTTAAATGAAATTGTGTGATTGAATTTGGAATAAGAGGATCATAACTTAAATTTACATTCGAATTCTTAGATTTCCTCTATTAGAGACAATTTATAATCGACGAGGTACCAATTTTTGGGCGTTGGAAGGGTGATGATTATCCTTCCCCACGCTTAATCGAACCCCGAACCTTTTTTATCATTAAAAAAAATTTCTAGTTACACATAGACTGGTTTATCTTTTAAAATGAGGTTTTCTTAAAACCTCTTTTTAAATGTGATTTTAGATATTCGACCTACCTAACCCGAAAGGTCAATGTCGACTCTGAAACATTTCTTTTACAAAATCAAAATTTTCACAAAAGTAAGTTGAGAAACGTTCCGAGCTTAGGGACAATTTCACAATGTATTTTTTGGTTGGAATATAAGTAGTGGTCGAGTCTCGCCGGTAGCGGAGGGTGGCCGTCGGCATCGGAGTTCATTGGTTGAGTGGTGTTCGGCCAGTGGTTGGTAGTTTAGGTTAGATGAAGCTGGGAAAACTCCTAATGGATTTTGGGATTTAGATTTAGGTTGTGAGTAGATGAAAGAACATTAGGTTTTGTTCTTGGAAATGTTATTGGGATTTGGATGCTTGATCCAAAAATAACATGTTTTGGGTGGTTTTGGGTGTTAGTGGAAGATTAAATTTGGTTTTAGGGGAAGAAAATATTAGTGTTCTTGGAAAAGTTTGGCTTTTGATCTTGGAAAACATGTTTTGGTTGGTATTTTGGTGTTTGTGGAGGATTAAAGAGGGGTTTTAGGATGAACAAATGATGAACAATGATGAATTTTTGAAGAACTTGGGAGAATTTTTGGGGATTTTCAGCCAAGTTGAGAGCATTAGGAGGGAGAATTTTTTTTGAAATGATGAAAATGAGCCTTGTCTTAAAATTTTGTGTTTTATAGTGTGTATTTTTAGGGCAAATTGTTTCATAAACACTCCATTGTTAGCGTGTTTTGGCTTTTGTCTCTAGCTTTTCCTTTATTTTATTTTGCTCACCAAATTCTTGTACATTGTTCCCCAAATTTTAACTGAGTTCAATTTAGTCCCTACTTTCATTCCAATTGCTTTCTTTATTTTATTAAATGTGTTTAATTATTAATTGTGAATGTTAATTTTTAATTCTTTTAAAATGGTCACACATTTAAACCAAGATTAAAACCTTTAGATTTTTAAGTCTTTTAATTTAGTCATTGATATTAAAATAAACCTTAATATTTTTAATTAAAACCTTAGATTTTATGTTCTTTAGCTTCAGTCATTAATTCTTAATTAGAGCATTAGTTTAAGTTTTTTAATTAGAAATTAATTAAGTTTAGTATTATCTTTTTAGGATTAATCTCTTTAATAAAATTAATTAGAAATAAATGAATAAATTCATAATTTGATTAAAATAAAATATCTATTGATTTTTAAATATTTAAAAGATGGTCTTAAAGTAACTAGACATTTCTTTTTCAATATTTTCAAATAAATAAATATTCTACTCGTGGTCACTAAAAATAATATAGGTTCATTAATTTTTAAAAAAGGTAGAGGTTTGTTCATACCTTTAAATTACTACAGACATAATGTTTGATTAACGTCAAAGGCTTGACCTTCATTCTTTAAATAAAGGAACATCCTTATTCTTTTTAATAATAATTTAACTAACTTGTCATTTTTTTTATTTTCTTATTTAGGGTTTAATAATTGGTTAATTCTCTAATTTTATGGATGACAATATTTCATTGTCTCGATTAAAACATATGAAATAATCACCTTAATTCTTATTAGAGGGTTAGTTTATTCTTTAATTGGAAATAGACAAATATTGTGCGTCTCTATAAAATACCTTAATTAGGTTAAAAAAAACTTATTTTAGGGAATAAAAGGAACATTAATTAAATAAATATCTGAACTTCTTAATTTTTCAATATATGGATATATTTGTAATTAAAGGTATTAATTTTGGATATTATAGGGTTGCTAATCCTTCCCCGAGCGTAATCAAATCTCGAACCGAAAATCTCTAAAATGCAGACCAAAAAACATATTTTTAATTTTTTATTTAAAAGGGCATTTTTTAGGTTTTCGACCTACCTAATCCTAAAGGTCAATGGCGATTCCAAACGTTTTAAATATTTTCTAAAATTTCGAATACTCTTCAAAAAAGTCGTCATGACAGGGATTCTTGATGGGAATCTTTCAATTTATGCTTATTTTTCTATGCTTAAACTTCTTTGGGATGAGTATAACATCCTTGTTCCTGTTTCCTCTTTTCAATGTGAAGCTTCTCAAACAGTCACCGATCATATTTCTTATCAGCGTTTATTTCAATTTTTAATGGGCCCTAATGAGACCTTTACTGCTGTTAGAAGTCAGCTTCTTCTTATGCAGCCTCTTCCTTCAGTTAATCGGGCTTACTCTATGTTGATTCAAGAGGAATCTCAAAGTTTGCATTTGAGTGGTGTATCTCCAGTCACTGATTCTGTAGCCTTGTTATCTAATATTTTGGGGTTTATTATTCTCGTCGTCGATTCAAAGGGACTTCTGATCATTGTAAGGTTCGAGGACATAAGAAAGAGAATTTTTACCAATTGATTGGCTTCCCTCTATATTTTCAATTCTCCAAGAAGAAAGATTATGT